CTTGTGCTTGTGGAGCATTTTCTTCATCATGGCCGGAGTATAGCAGAAGCTCTCCTGAAGCTATTCGTTGTTGTCCAACTTGCGTCCAATGTGTTTCACTGACCACAAGCACCTCCAGGTTGTATCTCCTTATTTCTGCAGCAATTTGGAAAACTCTCTCGGTCTCCCACATTGTACGAGTATTCCATGTACCTAAATAAATAGTTGCTCTGGTCGTCAGAAGGGGAATGGGCCTCGTGACTTCCGAAGGCACTCGACTCTCATCATGAGGCGTCATAGTCAGTCAGTCAGTCACAACGTAGAACTTCGTACGTACGTACATCAGTTCGAGTTGCCACACCACATCAGCACAGAGATGCAGTGGTCGATTCAAATCCCCTAGTGCTAGATGTAGTAAAATTGTAAGCTGTAATCAGAAAAATTAGGGTTTGAAGATGTTATTCAAGGAGTATAATCCAGTGAAATAAATTTGGAAAGAGAAAAAAGAAAGGGACATGAAGAATTCAGAAGATTAGAATTTCGGAGAACACAAAGAGTGGATTCACCTGCGCCATTGCAAACGATTTTGAGCCATATCGTTCAGGGTACCTAACCATCGGTTGCTATCATCTCGCGGTCCCCAACCAGCTAGTCTACACCTACCAATATGACTCAGTCCACTTTTCAGTAACTTCATGGACTTGTGCCATGTTTTGGTCTGGCCGCCCCTAGCTTTCTTCCAATCTACTCCTATACAACAAAACATCGCACGTCGAGGCAGTCGGTGGTTGGGCATACGTAACACGTGTCCAAGCCATCTCAACTGATGAAGTTTCACTACGTCATCAATTGATTTCCCATCCTTACCTAGTACCCGTTTCCTAACAACTGCATTACTTACTCGATGGTCCCACGATATACGAGCAATATTTCGAAGACGCCTATGATCGAATACTAGAAACCAACGAATATCCTCTACTTTTACCGGCCATGTTTCACTGCCATAAAGTAGGACGGAACGAACTGCTGCACAGTAAACCCGTCCTTTGGTTGGTAGACGGATATCTCGCCTACGCCATAAATGACGCAAGTTGGCAAAAGATAGTCGAGCCTTCTTTATCCGTGCTGAGATTTCGTCAAACACCAGATCACAAGGGCTGATGAGACTTCCAAGATAAGTGAAGCGGTCGAGAGGCCCAACTACTTCACTTCCTATCATTAGTTCGGATGTCAATGCAACCCAATCCTGAAGCAACGTTTTGCATTTCGAGGGCGAGAATCGCATCCCGAACATGCTTTCATTGTTGCTTAGAGTGGTCAGAAGACTGTATTTTGTCAGCGTCTTCACCAAATAAAACTATGTCATCAGCATATTCTAAGTCAACAAGTGAACCTCCCGGTAGAAGTTCAACCACTGGAAATGTAGACGAGGAAAGTGCTATCTCTAAAAGTACGTCAATGACAAAGTTGAACAAGAATGGAGAGAGTGGACAGCCCTGACGAACACCACTTGAGGTAATCAATTCTGATGACAGTTCGCCATAAGCTCTCACTCGATCAGTTGTGTTCGAGTAGAGAGCCTTTATAAGGTTAATGTACTTCATTGGTACTCCTTTCAGTGACAAACACTGCCATAGAACCTTACGATCAACAGAATCAAATGTTGCCTTAAGGTCAAGAAATACTACAATTGTGGGGCGTCTGAATGTGTGTCTATGTTCTAGAACCTGACGTAGTGTGAATATCTGATCTATACAACCACGTCCAGGTCGAAAACCAGCCTGGTTTTCTCTAGTCTGTTCTTCACGAGCTTTGGTTAAGCGTCGAAGTATTATTGAAGCTAATATTTTAGACACTATATTAGTCAAACTGATTCCTGTGTGATTGTCACAAGAGGACTTTCGTCCTTTCTTATAGACTGGCACAATCAGTGATTGAGACCAGTGTTAGGTTCGTTAACCTTGAGGATACTACTGATTCGACTTATTCAGAACGGAACGAAGGCTCAGGATTCAGAGGCTCAATAGACTATTCTGGTCCGTTGTCTTCGACTCAGCTAACTCGATCAAGAAGTCTTGGTAAGGCGTAGAAAGTGTATTCTACAGGCAACAGCAGATACCAAGTCAGGCAGACAGATCAGATCAAGCATACAAGTCAAGCGTATTTATACAAATATATATCGATTTTGTCATAGGAAATTTTTAAACAATAATTAATGAGTCATCAATTGTCTGCTATTTAAAAATTTAAACGATAAGTTCATCAACTGACTGCCATTCAAATATTTAAACATTTAATCGATATGATAAAATTACAAAATATGAGTTTGGTGATATATCGGCCCCAACAACCAGTCAGATGGGATTACGTCCAGATCCCAGATTCTACCTAAGACTTCAGTCAATCTCGTTGCTAATACTGAACCGCCATCCTGTTTTTTTTGCTAAATGTCAATCAGTCATATCAGACTTCATGGTTTCCGCATTTCATACCAATTACTTTCTGTTCTTGATCCTTTCTACTCGATCTTCTTGACCTTCTGTTATGAGACATTCTATTCCTGACTAGCGTTATATACTACTTATGTATTTTTGTACACTTATTATAGACAGAAATGTTCATCACTTTTGTTTTCCTGTAGTCACGCATATACGATAATTTCAGTGTAAAATTGTCACTATTTATCAAACAGTTTACACACAAGTTTTATACATTGATAATAATAATAATAATAATAATAAAGCAGAATCACTCTATTGATTTTTCCGTAAAACGGTTACTAGTATTTGATCGTAGGTGTCTTCGAAGCATTGACCATATATCCTGGGACTAACAAGTAAGTAACGCAGTTGTTAGGAAACGGATACTAGGTAAGGATGGCAAATCAATTGATGAAGTAATGGAACTTCATCAGTTGAGGTAGCTGGGACACGTGCTACGTATGCCCAACCACCGACTGCCCCGACGTGAGATGTTTTATGGTGTTAGAGTTGGTTGGAAGAAAGCTGGGGGCGGCCAGACTAAAACATGGCACAAATCCATGAAGTCACTGATAAGTAGACTGAGCCATTTTGGCAGGTGTAGACTACCCTGGTTCGGATCCGCGAGACGATATGGCTCAAAATCGTTTGCAATGGCGCAGGTGCATCCACTCTTTGTGTTCTCCTAAATTCTAATCTGAATTCTTCATGTCCTTCTTTCATTTCCAAATTTATTTCACTGGATTATACTCCTTGAATAGCATCTTCAAACCTTAATCGTTCGGATTACTGCTGATACTTTTACTACCTCTACCACTATGAGATTTGAATGAACAATTGTATTTCTGTGCTAATGTGATATGACAACTCGAACTAATATATGTACGTGCGAAGTTCTACGTTGTTACTGACTGACTGACTGATCTAGCGGTTAAGGCCTTCGACTTCTAGACACTAAGTTCCAAATCCGAACCCTGCCAAGCCTACTTCTGTCTGAGGACCAGGATGGGCTATCATCAGCCCCCAAACCTGGAGTGTGGCACGTAGCCAAATCCTTGGCGAATGAATAAATGTAATGCAACGCATTCTAAATTTATTCTCAAGTAAAGTGATCACGCTGCCAAGGCACAGACGACCGGTATGGATGTCAAGACATATTATATTATATAAAACGTCTTGAACTGAAATAAAGTATTTAGATTCGATCAACAATCCTCAGACAAAGGTGTCCGAATATACGTATACGTATATGTGCACAACGGTAAAAGCCCATAATTATTTGTAAGAGAGCATAAAATAATATGGCAATTATACATCTAACTTTCAAGCTTTTTTCTCATACCATCGTAACACTGCTCGAGAGAATAAGTGTACAAAAATTACCAAAAAAGTGAGATGATTAATCTGCCTGAATTTAGAAAACAGGATACACAACCTACTCAAAGTCTCACCCAACGTTTTTTGTCTGAGTTTTCAAGACAAATTTATAAACCGATCATTGGGTTTAGCAATTAAAACTTCCTACTATTCATTTCATTCCTTTCATCCGTACAATAGGGTTTGCTGTTGTGTGAGAACTGTATATTGAAACCAGATCAGACTTTGGAACAAAACAGTTTGGACACATGTAATATCCTTCTGTTGAACAATCCTAAACCAGAAATATGAGACCACTGTTTGGTATTCTGCATTTTCCGAGCTGGTATCAGTAACTGAGCAGAAAATTCTTTGCATATGCATACGTTAAGTCTGAACAACAAACTCGTGAATAACATCTTTGTTTACTCTAGGTTGGACGATACCAAGTTTACATCCATCAGGCTTTGATGACACTTTCATCAAGATTTTAGATACTGTGTACACACCGTTATCATTCATAATTAAGCCACTAAGTTCGCATTTCTCTCTTTAAACATTAAAAAACTTGGATGAGTCCGGTTACAAAGAAGCGTGAAATTCATCTGACTGTTATTAGCTAATTATTAGTTCAGTAGTCTCTTTTCACAGGCTCAATGTTTATTCATTATTATTTATTTAGTGCGATTTTTCAGAGATTGTTGCTCCGTAGGTATATGCACGTGTTGTATTTTTCTCTCTTTTCGTACTACTACTAATTATAATAAGTCGAAGTATTAAAGAGCAGATTGTATACTTTTAGGACTATAACTTCACACGAACTCTAACTCTATAACAATAACACGAAAAGTATTTCAAAGCACAGATAAATTATGACTACTAGTGGAATCTAAGACGAACGTTTTATATTATTTGAAACTTGTCAGCTGGATGAACCTACATCCTAGATTTAGTGTTTTTTCTGAAGCTCAAACCCAATACCTTTCGTTTCAAACGCCCAATGAGTTATTCACTTAACTACCGAGTCCAGTGAACTCATCACTAAATAACTTAATAAATTAGTGATATTATTAAGAAGACTTTTACAACTGTAGCTATGTCCTATACACAACTTTGCATAGTACTATCCATGAGAAAAAACAAAGAAACAAGAAACTTATACTATCACAACAAATCAATACTTACCAGACTATGTATATTAAGCGATTTGAACACACCGTCTGGATAGACATCGGAGAAAGAAATTTGAGCTATAATATTATCCTCTTGTGAACTGAATGGTATTTGTCTATCTAATTGGGATTTCATAAACGAAGGAAGGTGCTCGATTGCTTTCAGCGCAGTGCTAAAAGAAGGTGGGTAGAAGGAGAGATAGAGACAGAGGTGGGTATATAAAAATATTACAAGTTTGACTAAAGCTTATTTGAATAAAGAAACAGAAATGGATTAATTTTTGTGAAACTATGACACTTAGTTTAAATGGTTTGAACTATTTTTTCTTGTCAGCCCCTTCTAACAACCAGAGCAACAACATTTATGGGTACGTGGAACGTCCCGACAATGAGGTAGAACGAGAAGACCAGTCAAATAGTAACGGAAAGGAGGAAATACAAGTTGGTGGTACTCAGAATCGGCGAAACCCATTGGACCCAAGCTGGACAGCTAAAGCTATATACGGGAGAGGTGCTACTGTACTCTGGTCACGAAGAGGACGATACTGATGTATGTACGTACGAAGTTTACGTTGTTACCGACTGACGGACTGCCCTCTTGGGGCAGAGGTGTTCTGTATGAAATTGAGACGACGAAAAGCTAATGTCCGGTGCCATAACAGGGATAATGGATACGGAGGGGAGTTGGAAAACCCTGATTCCAAACCAATGGTCACGTGGGCTCCAGGATCCTGGGGGAACAAATGGCGTATGAACAAATTATTGGTCACCGGCTACCATGGGACTGCATCTCCTTACGATGCTCCACTGCCTTGTGGGTTAGACCTTTAGGTCAAAGGCTCGGGGTGTGGCCCCCTAAGATAACCACCTACTTCGGTCTGGGCACCCGGGCAGTATCACAGCCCACACACAAATATGATGAACTGCCTATAATTATGGAAACTACTTTACTTGCTTCAACTAACAATCAAATTATTATTATTATTTGCCACATTATTCACCCTTTTATACTTTTACAGCAGCTCGTCTTTGGTGGAAATTTCGACTGTACCTAAACGTTCTCGAGTCACTGTCCGGTTGAAAATTGTATGTTACCACCAAATACGAATACTAAAACAGCTTTTCTGAAACCACGTGCACCATTCAAACTGGCTGCCTTCAACGTTCGCACATTTATGCAGGTCGGACAACAGATAGGGCTGGCTATGTCTTTGGAAAGTCTTAATATCGATGTTTGTTGTCTATCCGAGACCCGTATTCAAGACTCTGGCGAAGTACTACAAATTCGATCTCCATCTGTCGCTTCGAAAAGCTTGTTTTACGTGCGCTTATCCGGGGACCCTGTGGCATCTTCGTCTGGTCTTGCTGGCGTTGGTGTCGCACTAAGCGCTAGAGCTGAGGCAGCACTAGTCGATTGGATCCCCATTAACAGTCGGTTATGTGCTGTTAGATTAGAAAGTTCCATCAAAGTGAGAAGAAATCGGCGTGAGAAACGATGTCTTTTCGTCATCTCCGCCTATGCCCCGACAGATTGCAGCCCGGATGCAATCAAGGATGAGTTTTACCACCAGTTATCTGTTCTTCTCCAGAAAGTGCGTTCGACAGATATTGTAGTACTAGCCGGAGACTTGAATGCTCAGGTCGGGCGTCTAGGCACAGAAGAGAGTCGTTTAGGTGGCCGATGGGGACTCGTTGGTCGCAGGTCAGATAACGGGGACCGTCTACTGCAACTGTGCACAGACCACAACCTGTTTCTGGCTAGCACTAACTTTCGGCACAGTCATCGCCGATGTGCCACCTGGCGTCCTCCCTCTGCATCTCAAGCCTGGACTCAGATTGATCACATCGCGATCAGCTACCGCTGGCGTGGTTGTGTACAAGACTGCCGCTCCTTTTGGAGTACCTATCTGGACTCTGACCATGCCTTGGTCTGCGCCAATCTTACCTTACTTTTCAGTGGACAACGAAGTGACCGCCATCAACGGATTGATGTTAGCAAGCTGGTTGCAACTTCTGTTGCAAGTAAGTATCGAACCGAGCTAGCCTCTAGGCTAGCTACCACTCCACCGAAAAGTATAGATGAGCATTGGTTGCAATTGCATGACGCCATGAAAATGGCGGGAACAGTCAGTTGTGGGTTTGCGAAACGTCCCGCTTATAAGCACTGGGTTTCTTCTGGTTCCTTACAACTCATTGAAGCCCGTCGGTCTACTCCGGGTGACCGTGAGTTTGACCATAAACGAAGGATGTTACGTAAGGAAATTGGGCAAAGCTTGCGTAAGGACCGAGAAGCCTGGTGGTCGATGCGTGCTAATGAGCTGGAAGCAGCAGCTGCATCTGGTAACTACCGGAAGCTCTTCCAACTCATCCGAGCCACTGGCAGCAAGAAGTCTGGTGTGAGTGAAACAATCTGCGAGGATGATGGGATGCCAATCACTAACATCCATCGACGTCTTGGACGATGGGCAGAATTTTTCGAAGGGCAGTTCAACTGGCCTGCTGCTCCGGCAACATCGGTCAGACTGTCCTGCCCTCCATGGCCGGTGACGACTGATCCACCAAATGAGGAGGAAGTCCGCAAGGAACTCCAACTCTTGAAGCGTTACAAATCACCTGGCCCAGATGACTTACCTCCGGCTCTTTTTAAAGATGGTGGTGACTTTTTGACTAAGGAATTGACGACGTTGTTTACAAAGGTTTGGGAACTAGAGAGTGTACCAACGTCATGGAATGAGTCGATAGTTGTCCCTATCTTTAAAAAGGGTTCACGTCGTTCCTGTAACAACTATCGGGGGATAAGTCTACTTCCGATTGCGTCCAAGCTATTGGCTTCCGTCATACTTCGTAGGTTGTTCAAAACCCGAGAAAGATTGACTCGCGAGGAGCAGGCTGGGTTTCGTTCTGGTCGAGGATGTATTGATCATATCTTCACCCTCCGCCAAATGTTAGAACACCGCCATACTTTTCAAAGGCCAACAATCGTAGTGTTTCTTGACAATCAGTGTCCGTAGGTATGGTATGTGCTTTGCACCTTCGAAGTGCAAAGTACTTCTACAAGACTGGCAGGATTCCAATCCTGTACTCACCCTGGATGGTGAGCAGATAGACGTAGTCGAGAAGTTCGTGTATCTGGGTAGCTGCATAAGTGCTGGTGGGGGTGTGAGTGATGAGATCAATGCACGTATAGTGAAAGCCAGAGCGGCTTATGCCAATCTGAGCCACCTTTGGCGCCTTCGTGATGTTAGTCTGGCTGTAAAAGTTCGGATTTACAACGCGTCGGTGAGAACAGTTTTGCTCTACGCTTGTAAAACCTGGCCTCTCCGAGTTGAGGACGTTCGACGACTCTCTGTGTTCGATCATCGTTGTCTCCGAAGGATTGCTGACATCCAGTGGCAACACCATGTCAGTAATGCAGAGGTTCGGCATCGTGTGTTCGGTCACAGAGACGATAATTCAATTGGTGTCACCATCTTGAAAGACCGACTTCGGTGGCTTGGACATGTTCTACGAATGTCGTCCCAGAGAATTCCACGCCGTGCATTATTTGCCGATTCTGGGACTGGTTGGAAAAAGCGAAGAGGTGGTCAGTGCATGACATGGTGTCGTGGTATGAAAGAAAGCTGCAAAGGACTGGCTTCTGTCGGTCCTTGACGGCTCCCTCGTTGGGGTCCGAGAGATGGTGAAACACAGTGGCTAGAGATGTTATCAGATATGGCTCAGAATAGAAGCCAGTGGCGATCCTGCTGTAACCTTCTTTTACTTTCTTCATAAAAAGTGGTTGTGTCTTCCTTACCTGAAAGACTTCTTCCGATTGTACCTTTCCGTTCCCTCATTACTACCACACTACCTTGCACCAAACTCTTCGTTATTGTTCTCTTTTTTTCTTGCGCCCTTACCTTTTTTTCTCTTCGATTTCTCATTGTTTTGTGTGGCGCATATATATTGGCGCTCTCTTGTTCCAATATTTGTGTTCAAATAAAATAAAATAAAATAGTATAGAACAATAGCAGTCTACATCACACCAGAGGCCGAACCCAAACCCTCCTGTTTCGCGGCGAACGCATAATTTAAATAGAGCAAGAACAAACATTGATGCAGAATAGTATGAATTCATAGTATTTCGAGGTTTCTCGTCAGTTGCTTACAAACCAAAAATGTTATAGAATTTTTACATTGATAGTGTGAAACAACTGACATGTAAAAAATTTTATCACATTTTTGGTTTGTAAGCAGCTGACGAGAAACCTCGAAATATTATGAATTCATACTATTCTGCATCAATGTTTGTTCTTGCTCTACTTAAATTCATAAAGGGAACCAATTGCATGGAACGCATAACTGTCAGAACCAGTGAGTCGGAACCTAACGGTACAATTTCGAATCCATTCAATTTGTGATATACGTTGACAACCATACAACGACACAAGTGACAACCGTTTCAATCCTGACACTTCTAAATTCCACCAGTTACGAATTCTTACTACTACTTCCGGAACAACTTGAAGTAACTAATGAGCTGACTACTATAGTTTTAGTTGAAAGGGTTTAGCGGCGAATGGTTTAATTGGGAGGCTGTAACAGTCACATATCGATTTTAAACGGGGTACTGTTTTACAAAACATCCCATAAACTCAGTGATTTTCAACAGAAATATGTTTCGCATATTTAACTACTTACTAACATACAAAAGTAGTCAAAATAACGTTTTTGATCGGCTTACCTAGATACGATTGGATCGAATAATAAATCACGCAACGACGTTCAATTTCTTTCTCCGTAAAATGAACAGCGAATCTTACAGTGTGACACACTTCTGTAAGGTTACATACCTGTGTGCAAGATATTTATTTGAAATATTCCTGGTATAAAACATGATTGGGAGATGACTGCTTAAAAAAACAATACGCTTTGCTAACTTGTCACAATAAACTTGAATAACAGTTCCTTACACATTAATTGAATAATAATCGAATGTTCATTTAAACGTTTATTGATTCGATACAACTTAGACATTAAGTACAATTCTGTATGCGACAGTTAGTGACCATACAAAGTCAGACCAAAACGAAGATGAGGTCACTTTAAATCTGAAATTTGATAACTGAAAGTTGAAGGCTAAGACTTTTGAGTTACGGACCCATGTCAACGTGTTAGATTTATTCATTTTTTTTAAATGATGGGTTATTTGTTAGAGAACTTGACTTTTAACTAACAAGTTGAAGGTTCGGAACCTACTCACTGCCTTCTCGTGGAGCGGGGTGTTGTTTACGAAATTGAGACGACGAAAAGCTAATGTCCGGTGCCATAACAGGGATAATGGATACGGAGGGGAGTTGGAAAACCCTGATTCCAAACCAATGGTCACGTGGGCTCCAGGATCCTGGGGGAACAAATGGCGTATGAACAAATTATTGGTCACCGGCTACCATGGGACTGTATCTCCTGACGTTGCTCCACTGCCTTGTGGATTAAACCTTTAGGTCGAAGGCTCTAAAAATGACCCCCTAAGAAAACCACCTGCTTCGGCTTGGGCGACCGGGTAGTACCCCAGCCCTCACACAAATAAAACGAAATGATTTTGTGGTGCATATATATATATGATGTCTCTTTGTACCAATGTGTTCAAATAATAATAAAATAATCGGAACCTGCTACACATACTATGCTTCGGACAGCCGTTAGCATTATTGGGAAGGTATAACTCAAAGTCCAGTATATAAGCCCATACATAATGCAAATGAGGTTTCTATAAAATATATATGGTCAGAAATAATAGATTATTTTGGGTCGAAATTCTGACTATACAAAACAGTACGGCAACTACAAAGAAAATATATTTATTCCAGCTCCTAGTGTGTCTATGAACGAATGGCTGATCTATATTCTACTTTTAGTAATATTTAAAGTAACTCAAAAAGAACTGATTTGAAAAGCAGATGTGAACAACCACAATAAAATAGGGAAGTAGTCTACACTTCGTTTAGCCAGCTGGTTGTCTTAACCAACAAAATATTTAACTTACCATGACAATGGAATTTATCAATAAATAATCATCACCGGGCGTCCATGGTGCGTTTCTGATTTCACGTTTAGCTTTATGATGACTGATTCGAGATGCTTTTCGTTTCATTGTTCTAGAGAAATCTCCGCTACGATATGATGGTAAAGAATTGTTACCAGGTCGGTTTTCATGAGAAGGAATCTGAATATTATTTCATAACGCAGTAAAAGTTTAAAACCTACTGAGGTTCCTGTAGTTATTCCTGATTCTTTAGAATTATTAGCAGCAGTATCATGAATCATTGGTGTATAAACTAAAGCAAGTTCGAAAAAGCACAATCACTGACTACTTAGTACACATGATTGTACAATTAACACAGATACGAGTGTATAGGCATAATAAAAAATGGATTCAAAGTGATACTTTTCTGTTCAGTTTATTTTCTCTGGAGTATAAAAAAGAAAAGTTGGTGAAAAGCTTACACAAACAGACGCATAAGCCAAAGTTCCCAAGAAAGTCAGGTCACAATAACTACAATCTTTGTAGAGTTCATCTTGACAATATATTTAGAAGGACTTCTTGGCCCCAAGTTATGAACATTTTAGGAAAATGGACAATAAGGTAGTTAAGAACGTTCATTTTGAAAACGTGTATACACAACCAAGATCAGTACCTTCATCAAAGAATGATACTGACAGATTTAAATTCACACCACATGACTGTTGTTACAAGTAGTTAAATGGAAGATACAGTTAGAAATGCATGTTGATTTTTTTTAATGCGGTGAAACAATAAGTAAACAAAGTAGGAGAAAACGATGTAAACAAAGGTTCAGGAGTAGTACTTACATACAGAGAGGTGTATAACGACAAAATCTACTGTTTACTAAGTAGCAAAAACCAATTGTAGTGCTAATAGTTACGAATGATATAAAAGGAAAGAATGAAGAGCTAACGAGGTCAGTGAGAAAGGATGAACAATAAGGCTTAGTCTTAGGAAGCTTTTTCGGAACCACAATTTACAAGGACAATAGCATTCAGGTTGTATGCTTCGTTTATCCAACCTATCTTAAATAAGTCGAATTCACTAAATCACAATAGTTTGTATATTCAATGGTCAGATTAAATTTATGGATGGGAGGTCGTCTAGGAGTAAAATATATACTAAATAACTTGTATTGAAACTTTACCATAAAATTATGACCATAATTAGAGGTATTGAAAAAATTGTAGATGCAATGGCACAAATGTGTGATGTGTAATAAGGTCAGTGTGTAAAAGAATTTCAAAACCACCATAACAAAAAATTCAAGGAATTTGACTTGAGTTCGTCATAATTGTGGTTTTTATATGCGACTGAAGACCAGTCCAGGATATTAGAATGTTCTTTCCCGGAAATAGTAACATAGATTTAACAATTCTTTCGGGTCATTGAAGCCATCAAATTATTGAATGATAACTCATAAGGGTTCGTTAAAAAATATCATTTCCTAAGTAATGAAACCTGAACTAGTGGTTGGATTCGGACTGTCCGAGACTGCATACAGACGAGGTTATAGGAATATTGCAGTTCTGCAACGCCTATAGCTCTTCTAGAGTTACTGACAATCACAAGCCCGAGTAAAGGAGGAAGACTGAGCATAGAGTCGGCAACACCATCCCAACCAGTGAAACTGATTGTACCCAAGCTAGACAGAAAAGATTGGATTCAAGAGAATTGCCGCTGTACTACGGTCACGAAGAGGCAAGTGCTCCACACACTCAGAGAGTCGTTCTGATGTTGTCCAAAGAAGCGCGAAATGCACTTATTGGGCGGGAATCTCACGGATACAGAACCATCAAAGAATCCTTCAAAACAAAGAAAAGGATCATGATGAATACTATCCAGTGTTGTGTACCCACCAATGATAGAAACGATGAAGATCAGTCCTATGAGAGGCAGCAATCGATCGTAGCGAAGTGCCCAAGAAAAGACCTGACCCATAACCCGTAATTTCTATCGCAGGTCTTCATGAACTACAATGGGACTCCAACCTCCCTATTTTGGGGTTTTCTCCAAAATTTTTGAGATTTCCCCAGATCTGAGGAAACTTTTGGGTTTTTTGTGCTATTTCCCTGACAATTTTTTAACGCGGCTTCCTCGAAATTAAAAGATTGGGACTTAGCATAACGATTGTTGCTCAAACATCTATCTACTATCACAGTTCTTTAAATATGTACCATTTTTTGATGTTGCCAACTGTAGTCGTCAAGTAGTTTGTTATGGAAATACCTGTAACATATGTTAAACATAGAGCGACAAAAAGAGGAAATTCCTCGTTCTCTAAAAATCTTTAGGGAATGATCAATGGATCTTCACAAAAGAAATGGAAAATTAACAAAACGCAATTGTAGAGCCGTCTAAAAGTTAGCATTTAGGAGAAAAACACACGTTCAGAATTCACCTTAAACGGCTCAGATACAGACAGTAGAAAAAACACAATTGGTTATTTACACGAAGCATGAGTAGGCAACGCTCCTAGGGTATCGTCCACTGATGGGGGTTGCGAGCACTTGAAGGTCAAACAGTCACAAAATGATTGGTGCGTCACATCGACAATTCGTGAAAATTTTCAGAAGCGGTCAAATCAAGACGTTTTTAGATTTGAATTCAGTTCAGCCACACCATGTCTGGTAACGTCCATTCTTCAAGTAACGAAGATAATGCCATCGTGATGATGCATGATATAGGACGAATCTTCAATGATACTATGTTATCTCGAAGACTTTCAAATTGGGACAATTTTGAGACCTGTTTGAAAGAAGTACATAAGGTAGTATGACTTCTGTGGTTAATAATTATTTTTTAGTATACGCATACTAAGTACGTTATGTCAGTATGCAAAAAGAACAGTGATGATCCAACTCCAGAGTACTTTTTTGTGAGATATGTCTGTACATATGGACGTAGACGCAGTTCGGTAGAGTCAGATGCTTGCGTTCAGGATGTAGATGATGATAGTAATAATCATTCTTCTGAAGAGCGTACAATGTCTAACTCGCCAACACAACCTAGGCAAAGGAGACGACATCGGTCATCTACGTATGCCTTACTTCAAATGAATTTATCCTTAAGGTCGAAATATTGCGTTTCAATGACTTCATGCTGCCCTCTGGTCATATTTTGTATGCACATCCTAAAGATCTGATTCGTGGAGGTATGTTTGTTCCTTTATCTTTATAAGTTTTGTAGGCTTATTTCGACATGGCAACCGATGGACAAGAAAATACATAATGGACCTAGTTCTTCGTGCGCTGGACAACATCTCAATCTCTACAGAGAGATGATCTGCTAGAGAAGTTCACTAGCAACTACCACTCAATCCATGCTCTTAGTGAACCTTTGGCAAGTAAACTCATCCGTTCATGCCTCGAAGCATCGGAAGACATATGCGCACAAGTGATGAGTTCAATCGGTGCTAATGATGAAGCTACAACGTCAGAATCCATTGTTAATACAGACCATAGCTATGCTTCTTGATAACAAGAAGTTCTAATATTGTAATCTTTTTAGTTTTACATAAATTCATGTATGTGGCCATTGACTTATTCTTATAGCGTAACGACAGGGAGTGTACTGTGCAGTCTTATGTGGCGGTGAGACAGGGATGTTGTTTCGCGTTCTTGTGTAATAATTGCCATTTGGACGCACACGCGACTAGTCATACATACCGTTTACCGAATACTGCTACCTTGAACATGGTGTACCGTACTAGTAGTTCAGATTTCGACCTGTCACGATAGATAAGAATTGCCGTAATTAAAAGACTGGTGCGTTATAAATGAAAAAGTTTATTAAAGTTTGAATCTAGCACAAATGATCCATTAATAAATAACTTTTATTTCTTAGGAATTGTTCCCGTTAGGTCTGTGAACACTTGCGAAGCTAGCTGGAAATAAGATAGACAGGAAAGTTACTTCATTATAAATGTTTACCAGAAAGTAGTATAAAAACGGAAACCAGTATTCAATTACAGATCGAAAGTGCATTTAGCACACCCTTCCTTTGGATAGTTAATCACGCTTATTTCCTTTATCTCTTGCGTTGCTTAGGAAAGTCTGGGTCACAACATACACGGATTGTATTATTTAATTCTTTGGACAGGTTGCACTTCGGAAACTTAGACGATGACCATATATAATAACTACTGTGTGAATTTACTTTGAATCGTCCTGTGTAACCTGCAATTCTTGATGCATATTCTGTTTTAGTCCCACGCAAGTTATGAGTAATTGTCATTTACGGCATCAGCACGTAAGCTAGACAGGCCTTGGTTGATTTCCGAAGATCATCACATAGGATCTCAGACAATCTGGTCACCTTAGATCAAGATATCTTGACTATCGGATCGTACTTTTCAGTGCTTTCGTGTGACAGCTTTATATCAGTACTTATTTCTGCTATTAGGTATCTTTGCAATAATACCGGCAGCCAAAAAGTTGTAGCTCCCCAGACAACCCAAAAAGGGGTAAATGCTTTGGTAGCGAAAGAGGAAAACGCATCAGAATGTCGCCTTTTTCGCCTGTCCGGGGGGAAATAATGTGGATTTCCCCCTTTTTCGCCGTTTTGTCGATAAATTACTCACTTTTCGCCTAAATGTCCGCTGAATTGTCTACTTTTAGCCTAAATACACACAGAACTCCCTATTTTCCATCCACTGACATAACCCCAAAGGTCTCCTATGTTCGCCTTTATTTTCAACAACAGACAAAAATAAATCTGCAATGAAGTGGAAAACCGGCATATTTTTGAAAAATTTTATTTAAAAGGTAAAGCGTATTATTGTACAACACTAGAGCAGAAGCATAAGCATCGATTGTTTTGCATATCCAATGCAATTGCTAGTTCATTGTTATTCGAAATTATCTGCAAAAAAAGGAACATGTGATGTATTATTTATAAGGAATGTGCATTTAATCAAAAGTTCACTGACACTCAAGCACACATTCTCAACACTTCTAAAGTTTCCCATGTAAGTAAGAATGTAAGGTGTTTGAGAAATAATGTTTATCGAAACGTAGGTAGAACATCAAAACAATTGCACGGCTATTGAGAATTGAGGTAGCCGTCCCGTGAATTCTGAATTTAAAAAAGTCACATCCATATCTCAATGACATGCTTTGGTACAGCCAAATACTTGTGTAGATCTACACAAGAGGTAGTACTGCTATCTTAGCTTGGTCTCTGGTAAAATATCCACATAATTATACCTCTTCCGCATGATTATGATTTATTTCCTGCAATATAATCATCTAGTAGCTAATATATCTAACTGTAGAAGGTGATATTAACATCTTGGTATGTGTTATTATTGATGATGTCACAGGTATTCAGTGTTTCACAACGCTTCTACCAGTAACACCTTCTAATATGTTTCGTTCCCACCAAGAGAAATCAAAAGACAGAGTCGAGGAGATCGGAAGAGTATATTTGGCGATGACCAATATACCGGGATTCTCTGATCTAATCTGGCTAGCGATTGTGGTTGATGTTGAGCACGGCGTTACTACACGTGATCTGGTGCGGATGCCTGACCGAGCGCCTTCAGCTAGATGAGTCCACTAAAACATATGGTCAGCATCCAATGTCGAAAACTTACAGAGCTATTTATTTTAGGGATTTATTTACCGCTACAGATCACTCCCCCCCTAGTGGGGCAGTGACGACCCTAAGACGTGGCCAGCCAGAAGTTTAAACCCAACGAGTTTGTCGTTGGTAAACACTCTTCTGATAGCTTACTAAATTTAGCAGCGTCTGGTCGTCTTTCCTTACTATATGGGACGGAGGTACAACATAGTAAAAAAAAGAAAATGTACAATGAAAATTTCGGATCCTCATAAACGTCATCGTTCTTTTCCAGCCGTCCTGGAAAAGAAAAAAGAAAATGTAAGTGCATGTCGAAATACACTCGTATATGCGTAAAAACACAAGGTCGGCGGAAAAAAAATGGAAAATAAACTCATGAGCACGTAATAGCGTTAAAAAATTGTTTTTTTTGTTTTGTTTTTTTTAATAGAAATAAAAATATATAAGCATATTAAAATTGTTTTTTTTTTCAAAAAAAAAATAATATAAAATGTCGAGAAGTGCCTTACGTGCAATAGTCGTTTAAATGTTCTGGAAATCTCACCCTTCTTCCAGAACGCGTCGTTTTAAGTTTATTTTCGGATACTGTCGAAGTATCTTCGTGTGCGTTGGTTGTCGGATGAGGTATTATTAGTGTCTGAGTCGTGTCGTTCGATTGTACCGAAGGAAAATCGACGTGGATAGGATTTCCTTCTAAATACGCTGCTTTTAAGCGATCGATGCTGATGCTATCGTTGGTTCCGTTCTTATCGACTATATAGTACTTAGATTCACGTTGAAGAACTTTGAAGGGTCCTTCGTATGCTGATTCGAATGGTCGTCGATGCGAGTCTCGACGAATGAAAACGTGTGTACTATATGGTAAGTCAGGTTGAACGAAAACATCAGTTGATTGAGGTCGAGTGGAAGCAGGTTTAACTGAACGCATTGCGTTTGTAAGCCTGTTCGTGTAGGAGGTTAGATCCATGTTCATCGAAGAGCACGAAGGATCCACGAATTCTCCTGGAAGTCGAAGTGTCGTTCCATAAACGAGTTGAGCCGCAGTGTATCCAATGTCAGCTTTCACTGCATTGCGGATACCTAGTAAGACGAGTGGAAGAGCGTCGGTCCATTGTGAAACGTTTGCAGCTGATAGCGAAGCTTTCAGTTGTCGGTGAAAACGTTCTACCAACCCGTTTGCTTGGGGATGGTAGGCGGTCGTTCGGAAGCGAGTGATTCCTAAAAGTGTGGTCAGACGACGGAAAAGATCAGATTCAAACTGACGTCCGCGGTCTGTAGTGATGGTTGAAGGGCAACCGAAGTTTGCTACCCATCGTTCGACGAATGTGCGGGCCACTGTTTCAGCAGTGCTGTCCTTGATAGGTACTGCTTCTGGCCATCGAGTGAAACGGTCTACGCAGGTTAAGAGATAAGAGTATCCATTTGAATCTGGTAAAGGTCCTACCAAATCCAGATGAACATGGTCGAAACGAGCATCGGGAGTTTTAAACGAGCCTAAGGGACATTTATTGTGTCTGATAACCTTAGATTTTTGGCAGCTTACACAGGAGCGTGCCCACTCCCTCACGTCTTTATTCATGCCAGGCCAGCAAAATCGTTCTGCTATAAGCTTGATGGTTGCACGAACACCTGGATGAGAAAGTTTGTGCAATGTGTTGAAGACATTGCGTCGATAATGTTTCGGCACGATTGGGCGATCCCTACCTGTAGATGTGTCACAAAGTAAGGTTTCCTTACCTGTTCCCATCTGTTTGATGCGTAGTTTAAGTGTTGTGGACGATAACTCGTGCTGAAGATCACTGTCTTCTTTTTGAAGCTCGGCGAGTTTAAGAAGGTCGATTCCTTGGAAACTGTTCAAGGAAGTTATACGAGATAAAGCGTCTGCAACTACATTGTTTGCTCCAGAGATGTGTTGAATATCTGAAGTAAACTGCGAAATGTAGTCCAGTTGTCGAGACTCACGGGGAGAGTACTTGTCAGAAGGAGAGCTTAACGAGAAAGTGAGCGGTTTATGGTCCGTGAAAAGAGTGAATTCACGGCCTTCGATATAGTGTTGGAAATGCCGTACAGCACAATACATAGCTAGGAGTTCCCTACCGAATGTGCTGTACCTCGATTCGGTGTCTAGCAACCTTCTAGAGAAAAATGCCAAGGGTTGCCAGGAGTTGTTAACCCATTGTTGTAAGACTCCTCCGATTGCTGAGTCGGATGCGTCTACTGCGATGCTAATGGGTGCTCGGGTGTCCTGATGTGCGAGCATTGTTGCTTTAGCAATCAGTTCCTTGACTGTGGAGAATGCTTTTCGTGCGGTGTCGTCCAAATTAATGGATTTCGCATTTCCACGAAGTTGGTCGGTCAGAGGTTTCATAAGTGATGCGCATCTGGGTATGAAACGTCTATAGAAACTTACCAGGCCGTTGAACGTGCGTAATTGCTTGACGGTGGTCGGTTCTGGGTAATCCAGAATGGCCGCCACTTTGGTTCTAAGGGGTCGGATACCTTGAGCATCGATAGTGTGTCCCAGAAAGTCTAACGAGTCGGTTCCAAATTGGCATTTCTGAACGTTTACAGTTATGCCATGTTTTTGTAATCGTTCGAAAACAAGGTCCAGATGCTTGAGATGTGTTTCTCTGTCCGGACTTGCGATTAGACAGTCGTCAACATACGCGTGTACGAAGTTGAGACCTCGAAAAACGTCGTCTATGAATCTTTGGAATGTTTGAGCAGCATTCCTTAGACCGAAAGGCATTCGCAAAAATTCATAGAGTCCGAAGGGAGTTATGATAGCCGTTTTCGGTATGTCGTCAGTAGCCATAGGGATTTGGTTATACGCTTTAACCAAGTCGATTTTCGAAAAGACAGTTGTACCTTTCAAGGTAGCTGTCAAATCGTGAATGTGAGGCAACGGGTAACGATCGGGAATGGTTTTCGCGTTCAATCGCCGATAGTCACCAGTTGGACGCCAATCGTTGCTGTCCTTTTTAGGGACCATGTGCAACGGAGATGCATATGGGCTACTTGACGGTCGTATGATTCCTAAGTCCATCATGTGATCGAATTCGTTTTTCGCTAACCTTAGCTTTTCAGGAGCTAGTCGTCGTGCTTTAGAAAATACAGGTGGTCCTGTAGTCGTGATGTGATGTGTAACATTGCTGGTTACACACGGTAGTTTCGTTTGAGTTTGTTGTATCCCAGGGTACTTATCGAGTAGTGGTTGATAGAGTGGGTCTATCATATGTTTAACTGTGACTGGGGATACTCTACAACCAGTAAAAGAAGTTACGCAAACGGACAAATTAGTGTTTCCGTCTACTAGCCTCCGTTTGCGAGTGTCGATGATCAGATTGTGGTGTTGTAGAAGGTCCATACCAATGATTGGCATAGAAACATCTGCAACGACGAAAATCCAGTGGATGGGTTTGCGTAAACCCACGTTAAGGTAAACGTACCTTTTGCCATACGTAGCGATCGGTTTTCCGTTTGCCGCCTGTAAGTTTAGGGTCGATTCGTGAAGTCGGTCGTTAGGATTTGCTGGGAGAACGCTAACTTCTGCGCCAGTGTCGACGAGGTAGCGAACTCTCGTTGTCACATCTGTGACGAATAACAGACGGCTTTGTTCGCCGGCTACGGTTGCCGTTAACGCGTGCCGGCTTGGAAGTTTCCCGAATCAGTCGGTTTCGTGTTGGGAAAATTGCAGGGTTTTCTGCAATTTCTGGAAAACTTTCCATACTGGTTATGATACCAGCACCAGTCGGGGTTATCTGTCTCTCGTGGTCTAGAGACAGATCGCTTACGAGAAATGCTTCTACGTGGTGTGCGCGATCTCTTACGGTCGGTACGAAGACTAAGATAACGCGTGAGTGTGTGACATAAGTCGGTTATGTCATTCTGAGTCGTGTGAGGCTTTTCTTTGACTGAAAATACCTCGGTAGTAGAAGGTTTCGTAATTTCTAGAATGCGGTCGGCAGATACAGCTAGTTCGTCTAAGGCGTTGTTCTGGAACGAGACCAGAACTGCTTGCACCTGTTGGGGAAGTTTTGACAAGAAGAGTTGTTTGAATAGACCTTCGTCGAAAGTTCTTGGGCCTATAACCTCTCTCATCCGTTGCAACATGTCCGTCGCAGAACCGTGTTGCAGGTCGATATTGTTGAAGAGTTGATCTAACCTTTGTCGATCGGTTAGGTCTCCTCGTTTAAGAATCGAGCGTTTTAAGATTTCGTAAGGATCGGAAACATCACTAGTAAACATACTAGGTGTTACGTACCTGTTGAATTCGCGCGGTAGTGCCTTGACTACTGCGAGGAATTGTGCACGTGTGTCGATCACGCCGTGCTCGGAAAAGTCGGCTTCTGCGTAGCAAAACCAGGCTTCGATGTTGTCGGGCCAGAAAGGCATCAGTTGAAACGAAGGTGGGGACAAGGTCTTAAGCTTGAGTACTTTAGGTGTCTGTTCAGTCATGATGAAATATGAAGTACGATAATGAACGAGGGGAAAATATATATATATATCCAAGAAAAACACGAAAAAAAATCACAATGTTTAAAAAAAATAAAAAATAAGGCAATGATATATAAAAATCCCAAAAAGGAACAGACTCACAGTTGCAATAAGGTGTACCAGATCACGACGGTCTCACCAATGATGATGTCACAGGTATTCAGTGTTTGACAACGCTTCTACCAGTAACACCTTCTAATATGTTTCGTTCCCACCAAGAGAAATCAAAAGACAGAGTCGAGGAGATCGGAAGAGTATATTTGGCGATGACCAATATACCGGGATTCTCTGATCTAATCTGGCTAGCGATTGTGGTTGATGTTGAGCACGGCGTTACTACACGTGATCTGGTGCGGATGCCTGACCGAGCGCCTTCAGCTAGATGAGTCCACTAAAACATATGGTCAGCATCCAATGTCGAAAACTTACAGAGCTATTTATTTTAGGGATTTATTTACCGCTACATTATCATCTATAGCATATACATAATATTTACAACACTCAGGACACCTTATGTTTTCACTATAAACCTATTTCTGCCATAAAAAACGAACAAAACAGTGAAAATCAGCAGAAATTGTGATAAAGATAGGAAAAACGATAAATTTTACCATGGTATCGTTAGTTGTAACGCAGTTTTGGTTGCCTTGACGACAATACAATTTTTATGACGATATATGCCTACGATCAGTGTATACCTGAGTAGAAATAATTGCTAATCTGCGATGCAAACACCGAAAAACTATTATAGCAGCACCTGATTAATGAATTTTCAAGGACTTCGCGATACCATGTAACGCAAAATGGAAAAACCCCTTTTTACCTAATTATGAAAACGGAAAATAGACTTTCAAATTTATTCATAATGTATTTCGAAATTTGGTTGTGAACAAAGCAGAAATGAAGAAGTAGCGCAAAAAAGTGTCGCGATACCCCTGGAGCGCTGCCGCATGAGTAGCGCTAATCTAGTCGACAACGAATCAATGCCCAATATCTTTGTGACGAACTATTGTGAACCGAATAATTTCTTTCTAATGTCTTATAGTTGCTTAAGTACGATTCTAGGTGTTTGTTGTCTACGATTTTTACATGTTCTGCAGTGGTATTGGTTTTCTGCGACACGATCCTTGAGGACGATCAATCGGATTTCAGATTCACATTTGTGTATTTAAGACAGAAGACCTGCCTATGTTATTCCTTTTCTAGCATGCTTCTGTGAATGTCTGGTATTCTCTTGAATGAGTCAGTTGGAAGTGCGGACACCACCGCTTCAGGTAACTGTTTTCAAGAATTGATGACTCGGCGTGAAAACCTGTAAGCCACGGGTATTTTATTCATTCTAGACTTTTCTACTCGCCTGCTATGTCCTCTGAGATGTCCCGATTTAGCGTGGAAAAAAGAGAGATCTTAGGCTCAAAATCATTGTAGGGCCAGTGAAATGTCACTGAGCCCTAGCCAAATCATTCGGCAGTTGGATCACTGACATGTTCAGCCTGCGCTCTGTTTAAAAGGACAGTGGTATTGCTTCTCGTTGAGTTAATGTGGTGTTTGAATGAACCAATGATACCTTTGTACTTGTTGTATGCTCGATTTCGAATTCCAAATACAGTACATGCGTTTGTGTCTTACTTCTTAATTCAATTGCGTTATTTCTGGGACTCTTAGTTTGTACTATAATTCAAATAATTCAAAACATTATATTGGCGTCGCGATGGAGCCTGCAATGGAAATTTTAGATATTCATCCAACTCCTGAAGCTTTTGAGGATTACTTGGAAAGGTTCGAAATCTGGAGCATGACCAAGAAAGATGTTAAATGTGATAAAATTGTGGCACATTTTCTGACATTCATTGGGAGAGAAGCGTACAGCTTATTAAAAACTTTGGCATATCCAGAAAACCTTATCTCACTCCCTTATGCAACTCTTAAAGAAATATTATTAAGTCATGTAAAATGCACCAGTTCTGAATGCCGTGAAAGGGCGAAGTTTCGTAAGATGGTTCGTCAAAATGGCCAAAAGGCTCGGGAATTCATCCTTGAATTACAGAAACAAGCTGCCAAGTGTAATTTCGGTGATCAACTTCATGTGCAACTGAGAGATCGATTAATTGCAGGAATTAACATACCGAGTTTGGAAAGAGAGCTGTTAAAAATGCCAAACTGTTCCTTTCAAGATGCTAGAACTGCGTGTATTAACTACGAAGCAGTCAATGAACTTGATATCCAGTCGATGAAGATTTCTAATACTTTGCTTAGTCGTCGTGATGAACTACAATCTCAGAGTCAATCAAACTTGCGTTCATTTAACAGTGATTCCTATTCTCGTGTAAATATGAAAGGTGTTTCAACGAGGAATTACAAAGCAAATCACAAAGGTGAGATGAAGTTTGGTAAATGTTTATCATGTGGAAAGTTTCATGCTCGCAATTCATGTGTATTTCGTAATGCTAAATGTTTTAAATGTGGTAAGGTAGGACACATTCAGTCAGTATGCAAAGCTACTGTCCATTTTGCTTCAAGCTGTACTAAATCTTGTAATTTAAATTTCAATAATTCGGATGTTTCTAGTGATCATTTATCTTTGTCTACTATTTCGAAAAGTAATGCTCATATTCAAAAGCGATTATATACATCGCTTGGTTCATTTCATGACTTTATTCTGGACACAGGCAATATAGAGTCCATTATTTCATTCAAGAACTTGAAATCTTTAGATCCTAACGTTGTTGTACGACCCACTGAAGTATCAATATTGGCGATTATTGGATACAGACTGCCCATACGAGGATGTTGTGAATTGCTAATCAGAGATGATAATTCTTCATACATACCTTGTGAATTTTTAGTTAGCGAAACAGGACTGTCAATATTGGGTTTAAAGAATTTGAAAAGGCTTAAGGTAGAGTTGTCCTTCTTAGTTTCTAAAAAAAATTCTGATACTTTACTTAAAGATTTGATAGCTATGTGTGCTAAGTGCAGTGGAGGTATGAAAATTAAGCCTATAAAACTTCAAGTACAGGGTGATCCCGTCTTTCTTAAAAGACGAATAATTCCTTATGGTCTTCGAGAAGCAGTACATAAGACACTAAACGATTTGTGTGTGAAAGGCATAATTGAACCAATTCAGTCTTCAGCATGGGGTACTCCTATCGTTACGCCACTGAAGTCGGACGGCAAGACCCCTAGAATTTGTGATGACTATAGATTAACTCTGAATTCCCGTTTGTTGAAGCAAACGTGCACGACGGTAGAAGCTAAAGATATTCTAAATCGACTTCATGGCTCTAAATTGTTCTCGAAAGTTGACCTAAAAGATGCTTATCTTCAAATTCCTTTAGATGAATCTTCATCTATTTTGACGACAATTAACACTTCTTTTGGTCTGTTCAAATACAATTTCCTTCCTTTTGGTCTAAGTTGTTCTCCAGCCATATTTCAGGAAGTTATGAATAAAGTAGTTAGTGATCTTGAAGGTGTTGAAGTTTATCAAGATGATCTCATTGTTCATGATTCTAATAAGGTAGTTCATGACCAGAGACTTATTGCTGTATTGCGTCGTTTACTTGAGAAGAATATTACAGTGAATCCTAATAAGTGTTCATTTTGTGTATCTAGTTTTGAATGCCTTGGATACCTAGTTGATGGTAATGGTTTTAGACCAGATATGAAACGACTAGCTCCACTGACTAATGCACCGTCTCCGAAAAATCTTACAGAATTACGTCCACTAGTGGGTGCTCTTCAATACTATTCCCGTTTTATTCTTAATTTTTCTTGTCGTGAAAATTGTTTATTTAATATTTTAACATCCAATTCATTCAAATGGAGTGAGGAACAAGAGTCATGCTTACTAAAAAAAAAGAAGTTTCTTCAAAG